GAAGCACTTACCTTTCCCATCAGGCCTGAGACTATCCTCTCCTGTGCAGAGACGCTGGGGCAGGTGGACAGAACGGGAGAAAGGGATCCTGGTATAGTGTCTGATATTCTTGACCCTGACACTTACTCTCCTCCTTTGTCAAATTGAAGACTACTCTCCTCATTTTCAGAGTTGTGGGGTTTTTTCGTTGTTGTTGTTTTTTATTGTGAGGCTGGCATGAAGAAAGTTATCTAAAGGAGAAGTATAGAGATCAGTAAACAGAAAACATCAGCAATAAGATCCTCTTGCCCCTGTGGCTCAACCAAGTGGAGCAGACAGACATGGTCTACAGAAGGGACAATGCCTGAGAGTGAACAGGAGAAGTGAGAGAAGGAGCAGAGAGAGGAGACCAGCACCACCCACACCTGACTGTCCTCTCCTCCCTTGGTTGTATCCATTCCCACCTCTTTGCCCTCCTGGCCCCAAACTGGGGCTTTAAGCCTCAGCTCAGACCCTTCTACAGAGCTGAGAGGTCCCTGAACTGCAATCCTGACCCTATTTCAGCACCACGGACAGCACCAGCCCCAGCCTGGTTCTCCCCAGGGTTCACAGTGCCTCCTGGTGGTTGGAACCCTCTGGGCAGCCAATCATTTGCCAGCCTCCAATGCAGAGTGGGAGGAACCTGGGGAAGGATCTGGTAACAGCCTAGGTCAATGATGTTGGTCAGGCGTGTCCAGGACCTTCCAGGCTGTGCCACCATCCTCAGATTTGTGTTCTCCATCCCCCACAAGTGTTAACTAGGGACAGAGTGCTGTCCTGAGATGAGAACAATTTAGCCAGGGGTGTACCCAGTAATTAGATGGAAAAACAAAGCCAGTCTTTGGGCATCATTGATAAGAAAACATTAATCACTCAAAGAGGGGGTTACTATGGCTGAAAATCAGTAGAAGGAAGGAAATAAAAACCAGAGCAGAAATAAATGAAAAAGAGACTTAAAAAACAATAGGAAAAAATCAATGAAACAAAGCGCTGGTTCTTTGAAAATATAAACAAAAGTGACAAACTTTAGCTAAACTCGCCAAGAAAAAAGAGAGAAGGCTAAAAAAAAATAAAATCAGAAATGAAAGAGGAGAAATTACAATGGAAACCTCAGAAATACAAAAAATTATAAGAGAATACTACAAAAAGCTATACACCAACAAATTAGATAATCTAGAAGAAATGGATAAATTCTTAGAATCATAGGAACGTCCTAATCTGAATCAAGAAGAAATAGAGAATTTGAATTGACCAATCAACAGCAAGATTTAAACAGTAATCAAAAACCTCCCAAAAAATGCAAGTCCAAGACCAGATGGCTTCCCAGGTGAATTCTACAACAATTCGAAGAAAACTTAGTACCTATCCTTCTCAAAATCTTCCAAAACATTGAAGAGGAAAGGAAGCTTCCTAACTCATTCTAAGAGGTCAACATTACTCTGATACCAAAACCATACAAGGAAAATACAATACAAGAAAATTGCAGGCCAATATGACTGATTAACATTAATGCAAAGATTTTCAACAAAATACTAGCAAATTGAATACAATAATACATTAAAAAGATCATACACCATGATCAAGTGGGATTTATTCCAGGGATGCAGGGATGGTTCACTACCCACAAATCAATCAACATGATACACCATGTTAACAAAATGCAGAATAAAAATCACATGTTCATCTCAATAGATACAGAGAAAGCATTTGACAAGTTACAGCATCCATTTATGATAAAAACTCTGAATAAAATGGATATAGAAGGAAAGTACCTCAACATAATAAAGGTCATATATGACAAACCCACAGCTAATATCATACTCAAAAGAGAAAAACTGAAAGCTATCCCTCTAAGAACAGGAACCAGTCAAAGATGCCCACTTTTGCCACTCTTATTTAACATAGTACTGGAAGTCCTAGCCAGAGCAATCAGGCAAGAAAAAGAAATAAAAGGGATCCAACTTGGAAAGGAAGAAGAGAAACTGTCAATATTTGCAAATGACCTGATTTTATATATAGAAAACTCTAAAGAATCCACCAAAGAACTTCTAGAAATAAAAAATTAATACAGTAAAGTTTCAGGATACAAAATCAACATACAAAAACCAGTTGCGTTTCTATACACTAACAATAAAGTAGCAGAAAGAGAAATTAAGAATACTATCCCATTTACAATTGCAACAAAAAGAATAAAATACCTATGAATAAACTAACCAAAGAAGTGAAAGACCTGTACACTGAAAACTAAAACATTGTTGAAAGAAATTGAAGAAGACACAAAGAAATGGAAAGATATTCCGTGCTCTTGGATTGGAAGAATTAACATAATTAAAATGTCCATACTTCCTAAAGCAATCTACAGATTCAGTGCAATCCCTATCAAAGTTCCAATGACATTTCTCACAGAAATAGAACAAAGAATCCTAAAATTTATATGGAACAACAAAAGACCCCGAATAGCCAGAGGAATCTTGAGAAAAAAGAACAAATCTGGAGATAATCACACTCCCTGACTTCAAAATATACTACAAAACTATAGTATAAGCAAATATAATCAAAGCATGGTACTGGCACAAAAACAGACACACAGATCAATGAAACAGAATCGAGAGCCCAGAAATAAACCCATACATCTATGGACAGCTAATTTTCTTCTTCTTTTTTTTTTTGTGAGGAGATCAGCCTTGTGCTAACATCTGCCAATCCTCCTCTTTTTTTTTTTTTGCTGAGGAAGACTGGCCCTGGACTAACATCCATGCCCATCTTCCTTCACTTTATATGGGACGCCGCCACAGCATGGCTTGCCAAGCAGTGCGTCGGTGTGTGCCCGGGATCCAAACCGGCGAACCCCAGGCTGCAGCAGCAGATCACACGCACTTAACTGCTTGCGCCACCGGGCTGGCCCTGGACACTTAAGTTTCCACAAGGGAGCCAAGAACACACAATGGAGAAAAAAAATCTCTTCAATGATCGGTGTTAGGAAAACTGGACTGCCACATGCAAAGAATGACAGATCATTATCTCACACCATAAACAAAAATTAACTCAAAGTGGATTAAAGACTTGAATGTAAGACCTGAAACCATAAAAGTTCCAGAAGAAAACACAGGCAGTACCCTCTTCGACATCAGTCTTAGCAGCAAATTTTCAAGTACCATGTCTGACCAGGGAAGAGAAACAATAGAAAAAATAAACAAATGGTACGACATCAAGCTAAAAAGCTTCTGCACATCAAAGGAAACCATCGACAAAACAAAAAGACAACCTAAAAATTGGGAGAGGATATTTTCAAACCACATATCTGATAAGGGGTTAATAGCCAAAAGATATAAAGAACTCATACATCTCAACAACAAAAAAACTAACAACCCAATTAAAAAATGGGCAAAAGATCTGCACAGACATTTTTCCAAAGAAGATATACAGATGGCCAACAGACACATGAAAAGATGTTCAATATCACTAAGTATTAGGGAAATGCAAGTTAAAACTACAATGAGATATCGCCTCACCCCTGTCAGAATGGCTATAAATTAACAAGACAAGAAAT